TGTTCCCCTTCCCCCAATTCCCTATCACTGTTCCCATCCCCCCAATTACCCAATAAAAATCTTAAAAAAAAAAAAAAAGAACAAGATGTATCACTCACAGGTCCTGGAGGGTACACAGCATGCCCAAGAGCCACACAGTGAGGTTGCAGGTAGGGAGAGAGGGAGGATGCATGGACCTGGGGCTCTGCCTTTATTAGGGGCCAAGTGGGATGCTTAGGGTTTTGTGAGTTCACTCCTTATTAGTGAATTTAAAGCACAGGAGTGGGAACTAGGACACAGGAAGGAAGAAGCGGGGGTGGGGGGTGGGGTCACTCAAGCTGTCAGTTATCTTGGTTATCCAGGGCTTTCTAAAGAGGAACTTTACCGTTGGGGGCATCCTGGCTCCTTATCCAGTTGTTTTTGCTAGTAGCTGTGTCACACAGCTGCCAATTTGTGTATTCGAGATGGATGTCTTTGAAACAGATGACTCAGCAACAAAAGCTTACTGTCAGGCATTTACATTACAACCAAGAAGCTTAATGTGAGGCACTTGCTCTTCACAGGAGCAACAGCTCTTTTTCCCCAGGGACCATTCCCGAGGCCTTGAGGCCTTCAGGGTTTGGAGCCTCACGGAGGCCCTGGGAGGTTATTACCACCAGCTCCATTTTCCAAAGACAGAGGCTAAGGCTTAGAGGGGCGAAGCCACTAGCTCCAGATCTCCCAGTGAGGGAAAGAAGGAGCCTGTTCCATGAATAATGTAGCTGGACAAGGAGAAGCGGAGGTGACAGGGCACAGAGCGAGATGGGGACAGACACAGACACAGACAGGCAGGCTCCTGGTCCTCACTCCTGAGTGAACCTCAGCAAGTCCTTGATCTCCCTGGGCCTCAGTTTCCCCATCTGATTGAGGCATATACGAGCACCTTTAGGGGATTTTCCCATAGGGAGGGGGACACTGGATGGGAAGGCGGAGAAGGGTCAGACCCACCTGCCAGGTAGCCAGGCAGCGGCTACAGAGCAGGTGCCCACACGGCTCGATCTTCACGTCCTTGTTGCTCTCAGCACAGATCTTACAGAGTTCGAACGTAGAGTCCATGGCCCAGTACAGCTGCAGCTGCTCCTGGCAGGTGAGAAAGTGGATAGGGAGAATAGGAAGGGGTGGTGATGTCAGCCATGGGGTACAAGTGGGTCTACAGGAAACAAGTCCCAAACCTCTGCGCTAGCCCTAAACCCTCTCCCAAGTTCAAAGCCATGTGTCTAGCTGCCTCCTATGTGTACCCCTTGTTATGAAATGTGTTCTCTCTAGGGCTGTCTGCACTCGTCAGGGTTTCCAAGTTTAGCAACTAAAAATACAGGATGCCCTGTTAAATTTGGTTTTCAGACACACAAAGGATACATTTTTAGGTATAAGTATGTCCCAAATATTGCGTGGGATATCCTGATACCGAAAAAAAAAAAAAATTTGTCATTTCTCTTCCACCCATAGGGTGACTGTGAAGACTAAGTAAGGCACAGGGGCTGTCACTGGTGAAGGCTCAAGTGCATTAGCTGTTCTGATGACCTCAGAAGTATCATTTCCTGGTTTAATCCCCACAAAAACCCCTGGGTAGAAGCTGGAGGAGCTGTATTTTCCAGAGGAGGAACAGGGGCTCAGAAAGGCCAAGTTATTTACCTCAGGTCACACAGCCACTAAGTCAGCACAAACACCCAAGGCCTCTGGGGTTTCAGGGCCAGACTCCTGATCCTGAGCCAAGTGTGGGTGTTGGGCGCAGTAAGCAAGGACGGGGGCGGCAGCGGGGGGTAAAGTGGGGGGTGGGCGTTAGGTAGAGGGGGCACAGGCCTGGGCTTCACCTCTGACACGTGGATGCGCTGATGAGGTTCCGTACGGCAGAGTTCCGTCAGGTCTGGGTTGTGGTTCTTTCCATCTGGATAGAGGTAGCTGTGGGAGGCAAGAGAGGGATACTGAGGGGCTGTCCAGTCTATCCCCAGACTAACATGGACTCCCCCACTCCTGCCACAGGGCCCAGAGCTCCTGGATAAGCATCTGCCCCAAATCTCGTGTTGGCCTGGGGATAGTTTTCCTCCTCTCTCCTCAAATTGGCACTTTCCAAGGCAAGCTGTTGGCCCCTCAGAACCCCAGGGCAGGGCCGTGTCTTCTCAGGCCCCACAGACACGCACACATAGCCTAAGTGATTCAAACTCTGGGAACATGGTTTAGAGGAATGGGAACCAGGAAACTGATAAAAATCCAAGCCTCGTCCTCCCCAAGTGTCAACCATCCTACAGTCTTCAGGCCCACGTATAACAGCATCTCAGAGTCACAGATTGCTGGGGTGACCAAATCCTAGAGTCTTAAATAAGCAGGGCTAGAAGGACCCTCCTAGACCGTCTACACTACTTCTTGCTTCACAGCTTATGACTGAGGCCCAGTGTGGGAGAGGCGACTGCCCAAGGCTATAAGGTGAGGCCTAGAGGGACGCAGACCAGGGCTGTGGGCAGGTCCAATCACCGGGCTCCAGGGCAGCCAAGAAGACAGCTTGGCACCCTCTGGATCTCCCATCCAGGTCATAACTGCACCTTCAGACCAACAGCGGGGTCAAAAGTCCCTAAGGCTGGTGACTTTGCCTGGCCTAGGCCCCAATGCAGCTCTCCTACAAACACACTGTGTGACCTGGGCTAGGCAATTCTACCTCTCTGGCCTCAGTTTTTCCTTCTGTAAAATGAACATAATCACACCTATGGCAAAGATGGGTGGTGAGGATTAACTAAGACAGTGCTCATAAAATGTGCAGCGTCCCTTGGCCGGCCGAGTGGCGCATTGGTTAAGAGCTGGCTTGGGATGCCAGAGGGCCCCGGTTCAGATCCCACATATGCGGGCCAGTGACACTGCCCTCCACAGCTAAGATGCTGAACAAAAGCTCAACCTCGAGCTGGGCTGCCATGAGTCACCGGCGATGGCAGGTGAGTTGCCATGGGCTACCGTGTGTAGACAGCAGCCAGCGTGAGCGGCCCTCAAGCCACCGTGAGNAGTGACACTGACCATTATCACAGCCCCATTCACCCAGTACCCACCAGCAGCCCCACACGGCGGGGACTGGCATCATACCCATTTTACAGACAAAAGAATCGAGGCCCCCAGAAGGTGTGGAGGATGGGCTCTGCAGTCTGGACCCAGGGGCCTGGGTTCCAGTCCTGACCATCACCTTCGAGCAGGGTGACCTTCAGATCTCTGAGCCTCAGTGTTCCCCTCTGTATAATAGGAATCATAACAGTACCCATCTTATTGGGTTGTCATGACAATTAAACATATACATTAAAAAGCACTGCTAGGTGCAGTTCAGGGAATAAACTCAATAAGAGTGTAATAACTTTGCATGGTGACAGATGGTTACTAGGCTTATCACATCATAAGTGATATAAATGTCGAATCACCATTGTACACCTAAAACGAATATAATATTGTTTGTCAACTATACTTTAATATAACGTTTTTTAAAAAGCAGTGCCAGGAATCATCCAGAAAGAGTGATGTATGCATTAACTATTCTTATTACGACAGTCACCTTGTTGGGAACTGGGACCCCCAGGGCTGTCTTTCCTGCAGTGCTTTGAAGAGTAACGAAGTAGGAATTGCCTGGATGGACTTTGAATCAGGCAGGATTTGGGGAGAGGAGGAAAGGGCATGCTAGCGGAGGGCATAGTCTCTAGGCAAAGGGGTGACCATGTGGCTGGAGGTGCCCCTCAGCCTGCCATTCTGGCTGTGTCCCCCGCTTGTCCTCAGGGAGCCGGCTGAGTGCCTCCTAATGTTTCCATTTGCTTTTGGCTGCAGATCGGGATCTGTTTTTAGCTTCCCTGGCTGGTGTCACCATCCTCCACACCCCTCCCCTTCCTGCTGGTTCTCTTGTTTGCTGTGGTAGAATAATGTTCCCGGACTTCCTGAGCTGTTTGTTTGAAGACGGCTGGTATTGATTGAATCTTGCGTGTACTCGGTCTGAGATGCTAACAGAGATCTGCCCTTCTCCAGTGGGCCAGGGTCTCAGAAAATCCTGGGGTGGGAGGTGCAGAGTGGGGAGAGAAGAAGGCAAGGCTGGGGCTTGCTTAGAAAATTAGCAGATTGCTTTTGGGGTCTGGAAGGCCTCCCAACACTGGCTTTTCAGGTTGTGTGGGTTTGGCAGGTGCAGCCACCTCTTTGGGCTTTTTCCGTCTGAAAAATGAGGATGGGAACATTTTTTACTTCATAGGGCTGTTGGGAAGACTCAGTTCAACTTATTTATTCAATACCTATTTATTGAGTACCTACTGTATCAGGCACTGTCCTAGGCTCTGGAGATATAATGAGAATAAAGCAAAGTCCTAACCTTCAGGAAGGGGATAACCTGCTGATAGTGACAAAAAAACAACAAACACTGTCCCCTCTGCCAGGTGATGAAAAAGACTATGAAAATGCAGCAGGAAGGGGCTTGGAAGGACCCGGGTGCTATTTTCAATAGGGTGGTCAGAGAAGGCCTCCTTGAGGAGGGGATGAGAAAATGGGCCTACAGTACGGAGATCAAGGCAGAGGGAACAGCTTGTGCATGGGCCCTGGGGCAGGACATGCCTGGGATGCTGGAAGGAGAACCAGACAGCCAATGAGGTGGAATGAGTAAAGAAGAGACCAAGAGAAGAGGCCATAGAGGTGTGGATGCAGATCGCACAGCGCCTTGTAAATGGGTGCAGAGAATGAGCACCAAGCCAGACCAGGGACGAACAAGATTCGAGCTGCTCACTTCAGACCAGCATCTGACTCACCACCTTCCTCTCGCCTTCCCTTCTGGGACTCCTGGGGGACGGATCCCGTGGAGGGGGCAGTGGGGGAGCTGATGGCGTCACCTGGAGAGACAGGGTGGGGAGAGAGTTGGGAGCTGCCATTTTCTTATCACCTAAATGTCTTTCTGCCTGGCGTTTCAGCACCCAGGCACTGTTCTAGATATTGGAGGTATAACGGAGAATGAGACAAAGTCCCAACCCTCAGAAGGGTCCCAACTGGAGAGAACCATAGCCCCAAACCCTTGTGGAAACAAAAGTCCAGGCCCATAGGACCCCAGAATCCTGTCACCAGTCCCTCTTCCCTTAGGCCAGGAGCCCAGGCCCCCAGCCCCTCCTCCCTCTGGCCCCAGGAATCGTAGTTCCAGGTCCTGCCTGGCCCTGCTTACCAGCCCCAGCTCCTCCTCTCCATCTTCCTGGTCATTGCTGTACCCTGGGTGCTCAGCAGTGGCCCTGGCTTCCGCTGGCGTCCCTTGGAATTGGTGGATACTCACAATCTCTCTGCCTTTGATCTCAGTGCGGCAGAAGGGGCAGGTCTGGCTGTCTGAGTGCTGGGGGGGGGCGTGGAGGGAAAGGGTCAGAGTCTCCCTGTTTCTTCCGTGTCCCCTGGGATTACAGGGCCTTCATCTCCAACAGCAATGTGGAGAGGACAGACAGAGGGAGGGCAATGGGAAGAGAGAGACTCATGAAGAGAGGGGGTCGGGGAAAGAGATGCGAGATGGGAAGGGGGCTGGACCAGAGCCGGAGGCCAGGAGGGCGTACAAATGGGGAGCCCAGTGGAACCATGGTGCTGCGTGGGTCTGGATACTACTGGCCAAGAATGCCTGAGGCACTTGCCTAGGCCCCCACAGACAATCCCCTTCTTCTCTCTCCCGCGACTACCGAGGCCAGTATTGTGACTGGACCAGCTCTT